TGATGTGTCCTATTTTTGCCCCTTGGATTTGAGCTAGTTACTGCATGTGGAGCTCCTTTGTAGAGAGTTTATCTTCATGATTTCTTACTGCAGTGTTGCTTTGGTGCTAAACAGTCTGCTCGTTCTGGATTTTTATTTTATATTCAGCCCCCGTAGTAAAGATGTTTCTTCTTTTGCCTTATGCAAAGATACTAGTGTAAGATCAGTTGAGCTTTGGGCTTATTTGTGCTGTTTTGGGATTCAAAGATATTACTTGATTGCATATTAAGCATCTTTTTGTGGTTAACGTTTAAGATGGCCTTTGCTAGGCTTCACTGGATTCAATTTTATTGGGTAACAATTTGTTGTGGTTAACCCCAGCTGGCAGCCTGGACCATGCAGCGGTTCACTTACTCCTCTTCCCTCCCAGTGGGATAGCGGAGGAGATTCAGGGAAAAAAGGAAACCTCGTGGGTTGAGATAGAGGCAGTTTAATAGAACAGTAATGAAAGAAAAGATAATAATAAGGATAAAAGAGTATAGAAAATAAGTGATGCAATACCGTTGCTCACTACCTGATGATCGATTGCCCAGCCCATCCCAAGCAGCAATTGTGAATTCCTGCCCCCTTGCCAACTCTCATTTACATACTGAGCATAATGTCTGTGGTATGGAATATTCTTTTGGCCAGCTTGTCCTGTCTGTGCTCCCTCTCAGCTTCTATGGGAAGCTAAAAAATTCCTTGAATTAGTATTAAGCATTCCTTAGTAACAACTAAAAGAATATGCGTTACCAACACTATTCTTGTACTAAATCCAAAACACAGCAGCTACTAGGAAGAAAATTAACTCTATCCCAGCTGAAACCAGGACACAACTGCATGTCCTATAGTTCCTTAGCAAGTTTGAGGAGAAAATGTGTATTACAAAGAATGTCATCACTATGAATGATAATCAAAGCAGATCTCTGGAGTCAGCAGTCTAATGCTAGGGTTTTTTATCTGTAGTGCAAATCTTACCAGCGTTGGTGTTTTTTTTTTCCTTGTGTGAATTCTAAGTTAAATCGCATTAGGTGCCACTGAAGACGAGGTTGTTACAGCTGCAGATTCATAGCATAACTTTTATGTATTAAAAGCCATTTTTTTTCTGAGCGTTTTCCCAAACACTTTGAGCTTGGTAGGTTGTTTTTAATACACGAGTATACCTTATTCTTACTCTGCCTAAACCAAAAAACAGTCACCTCCTTTCCTGTAATTGGCAGGTTTTCTCCTGCATCTGTTTCGGCATCTTTGGTATATTTTGTGTACTGCGACAGCAGCCATGTGTACCAAATGCATATGGAATGTCATTTTAATGTTTCAAGGTAGAAGAGCGTGTGGTGTATTTGTGCTTTTAACTTGAAATCATCAAATAGGCTGTTGACGTGAGTACTGTCACTTAACCCATCTGCATGGTGGCCTACCTGTCTTCCAGAAGTAATTGTATTTAGGCATGACTTGACCTGCCAGAGTTTTCTTTGTTTATATGCAGAGAAGTTTTAATCTTGAGCGGGGAACTGTTCTTGCTTTGATAACTGGACTCAAATAAGGTTTTCTGTAGCTCTAAGGAAGAGAGCTGACCACGTCTGGTCACACCAGTTCTGACCTTAAGAACAGCTAAATGAGTTTGCCGGTGAGGGGTTTTGCTTTTTGCCTTTGAAGTCGGTTAAGGTGGTAATTTTTCCAGTGTTCAGCCATCAGGTATTACCTTGGTTGCCTATAAGCCACTCGCCCTAAATTTGCAGGCACACTAGGCCTTCTTCCCCAGACTTCTATATTTATTGAATGCCACTGTCCCTGTCTTTTGATGCTGGCATCAATGGTTTCTCTTTTTATGTAATTGTGGAACAAACACCACATGTGCAGTGAATATTGGAGACGGCAAAACTGATTGTAACTTTGTCTTATTTTTGTGTTTTCACTGAAGTGGATACATGTAGTAAAGTTGTTGTTTTTCCATTGCAGGATCAAACGAGCTTTTCTTATTGAGGAGCAGAAGATCGTTGTGAAAGTGTTGAAGGCACAAGCACAGAGCCAGAAGTCAAAGTGAACCTATTTGTAGTTTCAATCCAATAAATGAAAGCTCTGCTTTTCTTGTGTCCTGTCATTCCAGGTGCTAGTAAAGCTGGTAGGAGCTGCTTCTCACAGCTTGTGTAATGCAGAATTGGGATTTGGTGCAACAAACCCCCTAAGTTGGGAGGCTGTGTTCTGTGCTGCTGGCAGACAGGGAAATCAAGCAGGTGGAAGGCAGTCCAGTTAAACAGGACTGTCTCACAGTCCTGTAGAGGGGTTGGAGTAACTTCGAGCAATGCAAATTTTTTTTTCGTGGCAGCAGCTGTGTATGATGTGATCAGAAGACTTTGCTCAGAAGAAACTTGAGAATCTCGAAAAGAAAAATGAACAAAGGGAGGCTGTGACTAAAGACTGGAAGAGAGATTGTCAGGCAAAGAAGAGTTGAACTAGTATGGGCCTATGGTAGATTTTTTTTTTTTTTTAATAGTATGTGCTGCAATTATTTTACTCAAATCTGAGAGTAGAGGGGAATAGTCTGACTTCTCAAAGCCAGTGCTGTATCCACCACATGGTTACGTACTGCTGCATCTTGATCTCCTTTAAGAAAGCTGCAGCTGTTTTGTTCTGTTTGTTAAGTGCTTCCTGGATCAGTAGTTAGAAGTACGATACAAGCAGAGCTCTGGGGCTCCAGTGGGATAGACCTTCCGTAGCTTCTAGAATTAGGTTTTAGAGTAGCAATTTAGGCCTCTGGTATTGAAACTTGAAGCAAAGTTCTGTTGGATCTTTATCAGTGAGGTAATGTAAAAGGTGCATATGGGTTTGGTTTGCTGCTTTGCTTCATTCTGTTGTGTAGAGAGAACTGTAGATGTGCTTCTCGCACTACCAGGAGTGCTTTAACACACTCGGGGTAATTCTTGCATTACCAGTGGGAGCAGTGGTATTCTTCACCCCCAGCTCTCAATTTTGGAACTTAGCATGATAGGAAGTGGGTATCTATCTTTACCAATAACAAAATTTGTGGGATTTTTTAACTATTTTTTTTTTTTCAAAAAGTAGTGAGCTCAACCACTGGAATAAAGGAGGAGGTGAAATAATTACTGAGCGTGCAGACTCACTGGGAGCAGTGAGGATTCCATTGGAAGAGGTTTCTGAGATGACTTGAGTCTGCCCAGGCTGGGGATCTGAGATGTGTGCACGTTCTTCCTCCTGACGGTATGCTCCCTGTTCACATCTCGCCTACCTCTGAAGCTTGTTGGGCTGTGCAGTCAGCCAAAAAACAGATCACAGAAGAGTGAGTTGATGGAAAGACCTGCTCTCTGGGCGTCAGCGGGCTGGTACTGTGGGTCAGCTGCCTGCTAACTCCCAGCGGTGGTGGTGGTGGTGCCTCCTGGGTTTGATGACAGGAGATGGCTGTGGTCCAGGGTAACTGACTTAACACCACGCATGGTGAAAGGAGCTCTATCTCCCTAAGAATTTCTTCACAGTGTGCCAAGTCGTTAAAATAATTCTCTCAGTATTCTCAAAATGGATAAACGTTGCAGCTAACTCATGTAGCTTTACATGTGAAGCATTTTTCTCCTCGGCTCGGGTTATGCTAAAACTTGTTCCAAAGGCGCTAGCTAATTAAAGGAGGTTCTAAGGCTAACGGTGGTACCCTGACATTTTTAGGTGTTGTTACTATAGTTAGTTTACAAGGTTAAAATTTTAGTAGTTTTTACCTTACTGTGCTAGTACAAACTTCAGGACTTTGATGTGCTGGAAAAAAGGTTTTAAAGCAGAAGGAGAAAGTAGGGCAGGCATGTCTAACCTGTCCCCAAAATGCTCTGGTTTTATATTAAAAGTTGTGAGGTTGGAGTTTTCCTTGGGGCGTTTGGAAGGGAGGCAAGATGGAGGGAGAATGCTGTTGGAATAATTGGGAGAAACATCATAAACACCTGCTGACAGGCCAATCGCAGTTGTTGGCCAAAGTGTCAGTGTAATTAGGCTCTTAATTTTTATTTTTATTTTTGTTTTTAACAGTTTGGAAAAGTCATTCTGGGAGCAGGCGGCTGCAGGGCAGGTCTGGGGTCAGTGGTGGGGGCTGCGGGTGCCCTGGGCGGTGGGTGGGAGTCTGGGTGGCCGCTGTTGCCTCTCTCCACGGGGACTACTCCATAAGCGAGGCTGGCGGCGAGCGCTGCTGTAGGCCCCCGGCGCACACGCGTGTCCGCCGCGGCGGCACCCGGCGTGGGAGGCCACGTGGCTGCCCGCCCCGGGG